TCCCTGTGGTGTCGGGAAGGGGCCCCTGCGCAGGTGTGAGGGGACCGAATGGTTCATTTTGGTATAAGTCTCTACGGGTCCTCCGGGGCCAGGATCTCAAGTTCCAACCCCCCCTCCGGGAAAGGGTTTGACACTGGAGGATAAACCCTGCCTGCCTCCAAGCCCCCCCGGAGCCTGTCTCGCCCGCTGTGCTGTGCCCCTGGAGCCGTCTCCCTGCGAAGGGCTGGCTGAGACTTGACTGAGCTTTTTCTGTTCATTTTGGTATAAGTCTCTACGGGTCCTCCGGGGCCAGGATCTCAAGTTCCAACCCCCCCTCCGGGAAAGGGTTTGACACTGGAGGATAAACCCTGCCTGCCTCCAAGCCCCCCCGGAGCCTGTCTCGCCCGCTGTGCTGTGCCCCTGGAGCCGTCTCCCTGCGAAGGGCTGGCTGAGACTTGACTGAGCTTTTTCTCTCCCGTGAGTGCTGGAAGACTTTCCTGTGCATTTTTCACCGAGCCGGTTCAAATCTCCCTCTGACGAGAGATTGGCAGCTCGCACGAAGCAGCGTGGGGAGAGAACTTTTTCCAGCGGGAGGATAGAGCGGTGCACTAAAGCCAAGCCCAGGGCAGACTCTCCAGACGGCGCCGGGGCGCTGGGAAGAAGTGCGTTTGTTCTTGTTTGCTGTCACGCCGCGGCTGGACCGGGGTTCTCCAGGTGGGAAAACAAGGGACCGATGTTACCTCTTCAGTTTGTGTAACCTGCTAATCTGGAGTTCAGCTAGAGCAGTGGTGGAGAACCTTTTTGGGGTCACACACAACAATCCGGGCCGCACAAAGTGAGAAGCCCTGCCCCAGTGCCTTAAATAAACATGTATAAGTGTGTTCAGGATCAGGGCCTAGTTCATATGCCTGGAGGGAATAGCTTTAAGCCCTGATCTTGCAATAATTTATGCATTTGCTTAACTTTATTGTGGCAAATATTCCAGCTTGCAGGATCAAGGCCTTAGCACACAGCCACTAAAGAAACCACCTCACTTTCCAGCACTGATGGCTAAAACTTAATGGGATTATTTAATTTAAAAAAATACTTTTGAGGTGGATCAGTGATCGATGAGGGGGAAATATAAATGTATTTCAACAAGTTATATGCATACTATTAATAAAAACAACTGAAATCTCACCATTATCTAATGATAGCCCCGCCATCACTTCCATCCATGAGGTCCCAGAAGGCAGCTTTATAAGAGTAAACTAGTTCAAATGATTCGGTAATCTTGATCACACTGACTTGCAACACAACTCCTCGCTCTGAACCAAGACTTTGATCATGATAGTACTAAGGAATAGCAAAAGAACAAATAAGCAAGATAACTTTGCTTTTGCCTATCTGTTTCAAACTTTCATAACAGATAGTGGTATTCTTGACTCCATTTTAATGTAAATTCTAAAGGGCATGTCTTTTCTGTGTGAAATTTCCTACTTTAATTTCAGTCTCTGTTTTGAGCTACATTATCATATCTAAATTTGAAGATTTTGATTGCATGAATGATCAGATGCATACTCCTAACTACAGATCCTAGATAGGAGCAAAAGGCATGCCAGATAATATTGGAAAGATAATTTTCTGTAGAATTGCAGTATGATGTCAGGATTGTTTGTGACCTATTACAAATGCTTCAATGTATGAGTAAAGTCAATTAGCAGAACCTATTAATTTCTAAAATATGCATACCTTAAGTATCTTGTGTCTTGGAGATGTATTGTCAATTGTGTTGTAGCTCCTCTTCCCTGCATTTTCAAAACTCTTTTTCCTTATTTTTTATTATTTCTATTAATTTTGTGCACAGGATCCCTAGTCATGTGCCAGAATCCCATTGGGCTAGGTGCTTGACAGGACTTCTGTCACTGTTTTCCTGGATGGCACAAAAGAGCACAATCTGTAATTCAAATACTGAAAAACATCTATAGTGGTGAAATTCATGATACTGAAAGATTACCGTAGAAGTATAATAAAAATAAATAACATTATTTTAATATACTATGGTGTCTAGCCATTGATTCAAATTTGTTAAAGATCTAATTTCAGAGTCTGTGAAATAGTTCTTCATTGGTGGTACAGGCAGTCCCCGAGTTACGCGGATCCGACTTATGTCGGATCCGCAGATACGAACGGGGATTTTCTCGCCCGGAGGACTGGAGCGGAGGGACGCCTGGTCCCGCCGCCCGCCTCCTCCGGGGCGAGAAAAGCTGCTCCCCATCTCCCTGGTCTGCTGGGGGAGTCAGCAGACCAGGGAGACACAGAGCAAAGCGGCGGAGGACCCGGGCCGAACCTGCGGCGCTGATCTGGAAGCGCCGCGGGTCCGGCCCCGGGTCCTCCGCCGCTTTGCTCAGCATCACCCTGGTCTGCTGGGTGGGGGGGG